CATATCATGTGGGTATGTTGACATCACCAGAACTTGTTCAACGAGATCGGTTTTCAGTGGAGTCAATTCAGTACAATGGCTACTGCGATGAGTTTGTCGTCATGGATTTTTGTGGTCAGAAGATCAAGCTTTGGAAGCCCAGTGGAGCCGTGTCAGTGGAGCCGTGTCTGACGTCACGCTCAGGGACTTGCCAGCTGAAGGAACCTTTTTGGCCATGCAGAAGGAGATTCGTGGACTCACTGCTGTTGGTGCAGGTCAAGTTCTTGCCGAGAATGTGGCAAGGGAAAGTGGCCAACGTTGAGGTCTGCCCCCGCCCACTAACAGTTCAAAACTGCCCCCCTTTCATAAACCACATACCAAAAAAGCACAATCATATTGGTGGTAACTCAGGCCATTTTAGGGGATCCTTAGGGTCTGCTTAGGAGAAGATGTGATCTAGGTGGGCCGTACAAGTAACAAAGGGTGGAGTAGTGAATGCAACAACATCACTACCTTTCAGGTGGCATTGTTTGTGGTTAAACCATTTAAATCATTTTAACGAACATCCTTTTGTATTGCGCCATATTGTTGGAGCCATCAGGACATGTTTGCTGAACTTGTCATCAACTAGCCAAAAAATCAAAGTATCGATGTTGCTGTTGATCTCCTTTGATGGTTGGAACGTTCGAATGGTTCTGGGAAGTCTGACAGCTGACATGCTTTTGTTTATCTGAATATTTGTGTGTCAAATAGCAATGGCAATAATATGGTATGATGATGCAAGGTGTTGCATCGATATGATGATACGATACTATGACTCATGACATTCTTTACAATATTGAATGCAGCATACCTGAGATACCGAGATACTGCAATCAAACGGTCCAACCATTGTAAGTTATAAGTGAAAAGCGTTACAAAGGCGTGCCTCCAACAACAGTTGTTGAGGTTCTTAATAAACATCATATGATAATTACATTTTTTTCACATTCCCGCTCCTGGCACGGGCTCACCCTTGAGAGTTTTTTTTGGAAAGGAGGTCGGAAAAAAGGAAATGGTATGAGACATTTGCCGGGCCGCTGGTCCGCAGGCTGTCGAGGCCAGGTGGCCTGAGATTCATTTTTTCCAGAGAAATTGTGCTTTTTTCGTGCTTTTTTTGTGCTTTTTTGTGCTTTTTTTTGTGCTTTTCCGGCGCTCCCGAGCACAAAAAAAAGCACAAAAAAAAGCACAAAAAAAAGCACAATTCATACCACAAAAAAAAGCACAAAAAAAAAACACAATTCATACCACAAAAAAAAGCACAATTCATACCACAAAAAAAAGCACAATTCATACCACAAAAAAAGCACAAAAAAAACAATTCATACCACAAAAAAACACAAAAAAAACACAATTCATACCACAAAAAAAAGCACAATTCATACCACAAAAAAAACCACAAAAAAAAGCACAATTCATACCACAAAAAAAGCACAAAAAAAAGCACAATTCATACCACAAAAAAAAGCACAATTCATACCACAAAAAAAAGCACAATTCATACCACAAAAAAAAGCACAAAAAAAAGCACAATTCATACCACAAAAGCACAAAAAAAAGCAAAACAAAAAAACACAATTCATACCACAAAAAAAAGCACAAAAAAAACCACCCATTCCCCACACAAAAAAAGCACAAAAAAAACACAAATCATGCGCGTTTCAGCCCGTTCGCATGTAAATTGTGAAGGAACACTATTATCTAATTGTTTCAATGCCAGAAAGCACAAAAAAAAGCACAAAAAAAAGCACAATTCATACCACAAAAAAAAGCACAATTCATACCACAAAAAAAACACAAAAAAAAACACAATTCATACCACAAAAAAAAGCACAAAAAAAAAAACACACAAAAAAAAGCACAATTCATACCACAAAAAAAAGCACAAAAAAAAGCACAATTCATACCACAAAAAAAAGCACAAAAAAAAGCACAATTCATACCACAAAAAAAAGCACAAAAAAAAGCACAATTCATACCACAAAAAAAAGCACAAAAAAAAGCACAATTCATACCACAAAAAAAAGCACAAAAAAAAACACAATTCATACCACAAAAAAAAGCACAAAAAAACAGCACAATTCATACAGAAAGCACAAAAAAAAGCACAAAAAAAAGCACAAAAAAAAGCACAATTCATACCACAAAAAAAAGCACAAAAAAAAGCACAATTCATACCACAAAAAAAAGCACAAAAAAAAGCACAATTCATACCACAAAAAAAAGCACAAAAAAACACAAAGTAATTTTCCTTTTTTTCCTGGGCCAGTTTCTGCTTTTTTTTGTTTGTGTTTTTTTCTGCTTTTTTTCTGCTTTTTTTCTGCTTTTGGAAAGTCGCTGCTTTTAAAGCATTTTCAATTGGCCAGCCCGGCCCAGCTCCAGCCCCCACCTCAGCCAGCCAGCCCGCCAGGCCTCTAGCCCAGCATTCCCCAGCTCCTCCAGCCCCCAGGCTCAGCCCCCAACCCTTGCCCAGGGTCAGTCCAGCAGCCCCGGCCTTTATATGTATTGTACACACACATTCTATTGTTTTGCTATCGGCGCTGCGATGGGCAACATTCTAAACCCTAACAGCATTACTTTGCCATCGGCATTGTGGTGGGCAGCATCCTAAACCCTAACCAGCGTTGCTTTGCCATCAGCGCTGCCATGGGCAGCATCCGAAACCCTAAACAGTATTGCTTTGCCATCATCGCTGCAATGGGCAGCATCCAAAACCCTAAACAATATTGCTTTGCAATCAGCAGCATCACTACCCACAAGGTGCTGACAAGCTGGATGCATGAGGCATCCCATTGGAAATGCCAATGTCGAATTTTGACAGCAAGGACGTCTGGGCATGGCAAGAAAATGTTCCGACCGTGGAGCCAACTTGCAGGGAATATGCCTGGTCATCTAGCCTTAATAAGGGGAAATGAAAGTCATATTGGGGACAACAACCTGATTTTTTTTGTGCTTTTTTTTGTGGTATGAATTGTGGTCACTGTTAGTGTCACGAGGCAGAGCCCAAGGTATACACACCATTTTATCCATTTTCAGACGCACCCATATCTATACAATGTATACTTAATGGGGTTGATAAGCCAACAAAACTCGGCGACACCACCTTGTAGCCCCGGGGAAATGCCAACAAATTGCTCTCAGTTTTGCCCACTTTTTGCTGATTGCTCATGATAAACATCATCTGGTTGGTGGTTTTAACCCCTCTGAAAAATATGAGTTCGTCAATGGGAAGGATTATCCCATATATTACGGATATCCCATATATTATGGAAAATAAAAACTGTTTGAAACCACCAACCAGTCATTCAACCCTCCACAAGCATCCTGATGCTTCCATTCTTGCCAACCTCTTTGTACAATGTGCAACATATGTATACCTTGCCCACCAGGTTCTGCACAGCTTTTATAAGTTATTAATCCATGTTTGGACTGGACAAACGATCATTTGTGAATGTTGCCGAACGACGTTTTCCACACATGGATCCATGTACTTCGTCCCTTAAATTGTACATATTGCACGTATCAACCCTTACCAGATACAAGCTGGGCCCCCCCAGCTATAAGTTGGCGGATAACCCCAAAGAATACTAGAGTTAGATCCTCCGAATCCCTTGGAGATTCCTCTCCACAGCCACCAAGTAGGCAGCCCTCTGAATATTTCCAGCTCATTCCAGTTCTGTATGCCACCACCAAAGCACGCAACCTAGCTTTGGCACCAAACAGCACAACACAGGTGGTAGGTGACCGCCTTGCCACCTTTGCCACTTTCAGTGGTACCTCTTTCACTGGTGGCCTGAGGATGTTGGTGCCCTCCAGTCATGGACTGATGGAAGAGCTGCAGCACCAGCAGCAACAGCACCAGCAACAGCACCAGCAACAGCAACCAACAGCAACAGCAGCAGCAGCAAACAACAGCAACAGCAGCAGCAGCAACCAACAGCAACAGCAACAGCAGCAGCAGCAGCACTGCAGCAGCAGCAGCAGCAGCACCGCAGCAGCAGCAGCAGCAGCAGCAACGGCAACAGCAGCAGCCACAGCAACAGCAACAGCAGCAGCAGCAGCAACAGCAACAGCAGCAGCAGCAGCAACAGCAGCAGCAGCAGCAGCAACAGCAGCAGCAGCAGCAGCAACGGCAACAGCAGCAGCCACAGCAACAGCAACAGCAGCAGCAACAGCAACAGCAGCAGCAGCAACAGCAACAGCAACAGCAGCAGCAACAGCAACAGCAACAGCAAGAGCAGGAACAGGAACAGCAGCAGCAACAGCAGCACCAACAGCAGCAGCAACAGCGACTCACAAGACGCAATGCTGCCAAGAGGCGATTGGAGAACCGCATTGGGCAGGCTCCGACGATGCTGGCGACTGTGGGTGCGGGTGTGGTTGTACTTGGAGAAGGATTTGGTGTTGAAGATGTTGGAGGTGCCACCATCAATCAACAATTCTGTCAGCCCTGATGGCGCCCTGCAGCCATGCTGCTCTTTGCGAAGACTCGTTTCAGATCGCACGGGGTTCAAAGGAGAGCTTGTTTCATGCCAATTCTGGCGGGATCACGGTTGCCACGACAGCTTCACACGGCCACTCTGAATCGACAACAGTGCCAGCAAACCGCCCGAAAAAACAAATCAACCCTACATAGAATTCACCAAATTAGTTGCACCAACTTAACTGTAGTTGTCTATGTATTCCATTCAATGACCATGTTCGAAGCCTCAGTTTCCCTTGGTTTCCAGCCACCAAGGTGTCCCACGTTGTTTGGCCCAGGTTGGTTATACATCCCATTAGATCCCATGAATATCCCAGAAAATCACCAATCTTGTTGGCAACATCATGGATTTATCCAACAAGATTCTGAGATTCCAGGGATATTCATTGAATTTATTCAACAACGTAAAATCAGTAAAATCATGGGATATCCATCAATTCCCAGGGCCCCACCTTGTTGTGTCCCACCTTTCAAAAGCCCAGGCGGCTCGAGAGAAACTTCAAGTTCTCCACCGCGAAGGTCTCCACGCCGTCGAAGGCCTGCCGCCGTAGTAGCGATGCTCCAGGCCCAGCAATAGCGCGTTGAAGCGACCACTGGCGAGGTGAACCATGTTGTTGCAGGTCATCCTGGGAAGTCGTTAATGGGAGAATGATCAAACATGGCATATATATATATATTAATGTATATATAATAGAAATAATATATACATATATATATATAATAATATATCTATATATACACATACATACATAATATATATATAGTGTGTATATATATATATAGACTTATATTATAGTATGATGGGAAAAACATATACAATCAAATGTGGGACATATAATGGGAATATATCGGAATATCATATACAATCAAATATGTGGATATATACTGGGAAGATCATAGAATAGATGATCAACGAAGATCAACGTAAGTACTGCTGTTACCCTCTGGTAAACAAACATAGCTATTTACCCATTGAAAATGATGATTTTCCATAGCTATGTTAAATTACCAGAGGGTATATTTGGATGTGACTGAAAATAGTTTCTATAATAATTAAAAAACATGCAAACAAATAGTCAGGCAAGTCTGGATTTTGGCTCAACTCTCCCCAAACTACTCTCATGGCTATTGCTCTAGTTCAAACTCGTTGCATGCTTGGATCCATAGTTACTTGTAGAAGGTGGTGCCCCCTAGATATGTTTTTTGGTTTATTGCCCATATAACTATAGCTATTTCATCACCAACATACCATAACCCCAGATAAACTCAGTTATTCCAGATAATTCAACCAACTTGGTGAACGTTTTGGGGCACCACCTTTTTAGGATCTTACTTGGTGGAGACTGCAGCCCAGCATCAAATGCCGCGCCGGAAGCGATGGAAGCCAGGGGTTATCTTCTCCATCAATGCAAAGAAAGATGGGTCCGCCAGGCTGATAATAACCTGGTTGGTTGCAAAGGCGCAGGTCACAAGCAACTTGAAGCAAGGGATATGGGTTGTGGCAGTCATTTTTTGTCACTTCAGAACACTTCCGCAGGTCTTTCATGATTTCAGGTACTTTCTATGAACACTTTTGGGGTACAATCCAGTCTTGCAGAAGTTGTTTTCTCATACACACAGGACGCAACTCAAAGGTTGTCTTTTTGGTGGATTCCTACTCACTACAGGCCATCCAAATCGGGCCGATCCACCAAGGTGCGGAGCTTACCATTGCTATGTTGGAAGAGGATATCCAAGATTTCTTGATCATCTCAAAGATCGGAAGGCATTAGAAATCCTTCACCAGGTTGAAATCCTTCTTAATACTCACGGCCGTGGTTTCCCCACAGTTTTTGATTGTATTACACCATCCAGCTCTTGCTGTTCTCACTGACCAAACGTTGATCCATATTGTGTTCTTCATAAAGGTTGGATCGTGGGTTTTCTGTTTTGGTATGACACAGTATGACAGGTGGCCTCTGGGCTTCGAAACTGGGGTACCCACCCCACTGACCAAGTGGCGTGCATCAACCACGAAGCGCTGGCACCAGGTTTTGTTGTTCCTAGGGGCTTGGGTGGTGGTGAAGCTCTCGTTGGGATGCAGGAATCGTTAATGGGAAAGAACCATATGAAATAACCCAGGTATGCGCATGAGATGGGTTAATATATGGGAATATATGTTATATATGGCCCCAAAAGAAAGTGGCTCATAAACCACCTACTAAGCTTCGAACCCTCGTTTCAATATGGTAGCAAACTGAAGAATGGACAATATGGAAATTGTTTCCTGCGTTATCGAATATCAAAGTTTTTCAAAACTGTCGGTCACTATCACTGGGATTACCAAATAACTTTGCACTGGTCTCAAAAACATGAACAGAAACGACTATATATGGCACATCTACACCCATATGCAACCCATGGTGCTGGAATATGGAATCCAACATTTGCCCTTGTCCAAAATCACAGTCAGTCATTTTTTTTCAATATACCAGCACCATGGGAAACGCATATGGGACACAGGTCTGTTTTTGGATGACCTGTTCTGTTTACGGCATTGCCGCAGGTAAGCTGGTATTAAGCCTGGTAAACTTCGTGGTGTTAATGCGTGGTAATATGTCACCTAACCGGAACATAGCTAAAATACATTAAAATACCAAAATTACTTCACTTCGAATGATCCCCACCATGGCATTTATACATTTTCTTACTGGCAAATCTTCTGGCATTCTATCTGACATATCTTCTGGCATTCTATCTGGCATTCTATCTGGCATATCTTCTGGCATTCTATCTGGCAAATCTGATGCATTCTATCTGGCATATCTTCTGGCATTCTATCTGGCATATCTTCTGGCATTCAATCTGGCATTCTTGGCATATCTTCTGGCATATATTCTGACATATCTTCTGGCATTCTATCTGACATATCTTCTCTATCTGACATATCTTCTGGCATATATTCTATCTTCTGGCATATCTTCTGGCATATTTTCTGGCATTCTATCTGGCAAATCTTCTGGCATTCTATCTGGCATATCTTCTGGCATATCTTCTGGCATATCTTCTGACATATCTATCTGGCATATCTTCTGGCATATTTTCTGGCATTCTATCTGCCAAATCTTCTGGCATTCTATCTGGCATTCTATCTGGCATATCTTCTATTCTTCTGGCATTCTATCTGGCCGTTGAGGTCCGGCAGTGCCCACTGCGATCTGGAAGTCGCGGTTGAGGTCCGGCAGTGCCCACTGCGATCTGGAAGTCGCGGTTGAGGTCCGGCAGTGCCCACTGGGATCTGGAGCTCGCGGTGGAGGTCCGGCAGTGCCCACTGGGATCTGGAGCTCGCGGTGGAGGTCCGGCAGTGCCCACTGGGATCTGGCGCTCGCAGTGGAGGTCCGGCTGTGCCCACTGGGATCTGGACTGCGAGGAGGAGGAGGACGAGGAGGAGGAGGATGCGGAGGAGAACAGCTCTGATAAAATCTAACAACCCTCACCTGGCAGGTGGGGACTAAGGCTTGCTATGGTGATGATTTCCCTCACGATTCCCATGATTATTCCAACAACGTCACGACGTGAGGTCACTTTTTCGTTCATCCAGACCCAAGTGGGTTAGTTTGTCTGAAACTTGGGTACCCCCTATTTCAGTGGATTAATCGTGAATTTCCCAAATTAAAACTGCAGCCATTTTTCGGGGTCTACCCTGACGCACACACCCGTTTGTGGTAGGCCTGGCCGGCCCCTAGAAGATAGACAAGTAAAATCCTAGTAGATTCATGTGGGTAAAAAAAACCATAAACCACCCGTTTGGGAATATACCATCTATGGTGATTTGGGTGATGGTTTATGATTGTTTTACCCACATTAATGGTAACTTACTTTTTTCAATCTTATTGGTGCTGAGTTTCTATTTCATTCAGTACCATTAGTACTACTATGGTCAAAAAGTACTATTTCAATAGTACATTTAGTGAAATAGTACTATTATCCATGACGGATCTATGGTGCTGGTATATATGCTAACATAAAGGGGGTATATTGATGGGATCCATGTTGCCATATATAGCAGCACCATGGATCCGTTATGGGTTGCGGACCTCCCTTGGAGCTGAGAATCGCCGGATCGAAATGGTCCAGTTTCTGCTGGCAGAAGCGGTGGATGGAGTTGGGATCCTCGCGGAGCGATCTGGGTAAAAGGATGGTTGAAACCAATCAGTTAAAAATCCAATGATCAATAGATTTAGTTGGTTTTTATATATTATAGTTGGTGTTTATCAATAGTTTATTCCTCCAACTATGGTAATGTTATAGTGGTTATAACTAACATAGCTATTGAAAATGGCCATTTATAGTAGATTTACCTACTATAGATGGTGATTTTCCATAGTTATGTTAAATTACCAGAGGGTAAAAATCAATGATCAATAGGTGGTAAAACAACCCCTCTGAAAAAAATGAGTTCGTCAGTTGGGATGATGACATTCCCAGTATGATGGAAAAATAGAAAATGTTCCAAACCACCAACCAGATAATCATTGATGTGGGTAAAACAAGAAACCATCCCCCAGTTATCACCATTTTTATATGCGGTATGGTTATGGTTACCATTCCCAGTCATGGGTGGCCCACATAAATAATGCTTAAGAATGGTGATTACTAGTGATTTGCAAAATTAATGGTGATTTTCATAGTGATGAATGGTTAGATCATAGTGCTTAATAATGGTGATCATAGTGGTTAATCGTGGTTAATGGTTGATAATGGTTACTAACTAACGGTCAACAATGGTACAATGTGGCCCCCCAATTAAGTTGGTTTATAAGCCCCAGTAACTATAGTTATAAGTACAATAAACCATGTAGTTATTGGAATTCTAAACCACCTTAGCCATCTTGGGGGCCTCACATTTTAAATAATATTGACTGTTCTGCGAATTAGCGTCTGGCATTTTACACCTGGCTGTCGAAAATCCCCATCACCACATTGGACTGAGGTAAACCAGATCCGTTTCTATCATTTCTCACAACTATAATGCGTCCATAAATCCTAGAACAATATAGTGTTGGATAAAAAGGGCCTTTTTTGCAGCAGTGCAGCTACAGATTGTAGAACGGAAAAATACATGTAGAAGCAAACCTGTAATCATATGATTGTAGCAGTCCGCCTTAATTAAGCAGCTTAGTATTGGCATAAACCCAGCTGACACCACCCGGGTATTACTTACGTAGTCAGCTGCCCTGTGTTATGTCAACGGTTCTGGTGCTTTAACAAACTTATCATAGGAAATCATTCAGTGGTGATGATGAGGGGTCAAACTTGTGATGTACTGTAGACCTATGTGAACCCAAAGTAATGGAAAAATGAACTTTCATCCATACGGCCAGCTGGAATGGGTGCGAAAACCACCATACTATTGACTTTTGCTCATCTCCACTGCCAACAGTTATGGTCATTTATCAGTTATAAGTACTAACAAAACCCCATTTATAGAATGTATAATCCCATAGAAATCACCAGTTATAACTGGTAGCCATGGCCATAACTGCATGGTCTTCAAATCAAACGTGTTGCTCTTCCATTTAACCGATATTTATTTGGGATTGATCACTGGTGCTTTGCAAAAAAGGGACCACGGAACCTTTCAGTAGAACTCAATTAGTATGGATGTGGGAGAAATATGGGTACAGTAACGCAAAAACGGGACGTCTGACACATATTATACATATGTATATATGCATATATATATATATATACATATGTATATATATATGTAATATATATATATAATATGTATTTATATATATATATATATATTAAAACACACCATGAAATGCACAATGACTAACATCTACTTACGGCCCCAGCGTTGCAGTCAACTGCTGCAAGGACCTGGATAAGGTCCCAAGTGACCCTCAAAGTTCCACCTGGTTTTTGCCGAAAAAAAAAATCAGGGCTTGATCATCATTACTGGCCGTCAAGGCACCGATAAGTTGAACAACGGCGGCTCCAGTTCCTCCTTGGGCCAGGATCCAGTCGCTTTGGATGGCCCCGTCCAATAAAACTATAGAGATTTTGGGATTTAAATCGGATTTAACCATCAAACATGTGGATTTCACCATTGAATGATATCTATAATGTGTTTACCCTCCGGTGTCATCAAACATAAACATTGCGTGCTGGAAAAAAGAAACAAAACACCTCATGGAGTTCGGTGATTTTCCGAACCCACCCCATTTCGAGTGACCGTGGATTTCCCCGCTTACCACGCTTGATGCATGACACCGGAGGGTCAACGACAGGGGATGAAAGGATGGCCAATGTTTCTGTTATTGTCAAATAGGGGGATTTGCCAGTTTATCGTCATGCAATAATTGAGGTTCTAAGTTCTAAACTTGCAATTTTTACGGGATTTATCCGCCGACCCCGGCCTTCGCCAAGGCCGGGGCGGCGCCTGGGACCACCGCAGGTGTGGAACTTTTCCGCGCGGGCTTTAAATGTGCGCGGCAGCCTTTGCTGCTCCAGGGTTGCAGCCTGCCCTTTGCCTGCACATCCCTCGCGGCAGCTTCCACCAAGCTCCTGGCCGTCAGCGTTCCAGCATTGGAGCCTGCCCTTTGCCTGCACATAGCCCTCTCTTGTTAGGGCATTCGATCCTGCCGTTTGCCAGGCTTCAAACCCCTACAACGCCTAAAACCCTCCTTTGCCTGCACATAGCCCTCTCTCGTTAAGACATTCGAGCCTGCCGTTTGCCAGGCTTCAAACCCCTAAAATGCCTAAAACCCTCCTTTGCCTGCACATAGCCCTCTCTCGTTAGGGCATTCGAGCTTGCCGTTTGCCAGCCTTCAAACCCTTAAAACACCTAAAACCCTCCGCGGCAGCTTCCACCAAGGCCTCTGGCCGTCAGCCTTTGCTGCTCCAGGGTTGCAGCCTGCCCTTTGCCTGCACATAGCCCTCTCTTGTTAGGGCATTCGAGCCTGCCGTTTGCCAGCCTTCAAACCCTTAAAACCCCTAAAACCCTCCGCGGCAGCTTCCACCAAGGCCTCTGGCCGTCAGCCTTTGCTTCCACCAAGCTCCTGGCCGTCAGCGCTCCAGCATTGCAGCCTGCCCTTTACCTGCACATAGCCCTCTCTTGTTAGGGCATTCGAGCCTGCCGTTTGCCAGCCTTCAAACCCTTAAAACCCCTAAAACGCTCCGCGGCAGCTTCCACCAAGCCCTCTGAACCCCTAAAATGCCTAAAACCCTCCTTTGCCTGCACATAGCCCTCTCTCGTTAGGGCATTCGAGCCTGCCGTTTGCCAGCCTTCAAACCCTTAAAACCCCTAAAACCCTCTGCGGCAGCTTCCACCAAGGCCTCTGGCCGTCAGCCTTTGCTGCTCCATAGGGCATTCGAGCCTGCCGTTTGCCAGCCTTCAAACCCTTAAAACCCCTAAAACCCTCCGCGGCAGCTTCCACCAAGGCCTCTGGCCGTCAGCCTTTGCTTCCACCAAGCTCCTGGCCGTCAGCGCTCCAGCATTGCAGCCTGCCCTTTACCTGCACATAGCCCTCTCTTGTTAGGGCATTCGAGCCTGCCGTTTGCCAGCCTTCAAACCCTTAAAACCCCTAAAACGCTCCGCGGCAGCTTCCACCAAGCCCTCTGGTCGTCAGCCTTTGCTGCTCCAGGGTTGCAGCCTGCCCTTTGCCTGCACATCCCTCGCGGCAGCTTCCACCAAGCCCTCTAGCCGTCAGCCTGCCGCTCAAGCATTGCAGCCTGCCCTTTGCCTGCAATGCCTAAAACCCTCCTTTGCCTGCACATAGCCCTCTCTCGTTAGGGCATTCGAGCCTGCCGTTTGCCAGCCTTCAAACCCTTAAAACCCCTAAAACCCTCCGCGGCAGCTTCCACCAAGGCCTCTGGCCGTCAGCCTTTGCTTCCACCAAGCTCCTGGCCGTCAGTGCTCCAGCATTGCAGCCTGCCCTTTACCTGCACATAGCCCTCTCTTGTTAGGGCATTCGAGCCTGCCGTTTGCCAGCCTTCAAACCCTTAAAACCCCTAAAACGCTCCGCGGCAGCTTCCACATAGCCCTCTCTTGTTAGGGCATTCGAGCCTGAAGGGCAGCCTGCACATCCCTCGCGGCAGCCGTCAGCGTTCCAGCATTGCAGCCTGCCCTTTGCCTGCACATAGCCCTCTCTTGTTAGGGCATTCGAGCCTGCCGTTTGCCAGGCTTCAAACTCCTACAACGCCTAAAACCCTCCTTTGCCTGCACATAGCCCTCTCTCGTTAAGGCATTCGAGCCTGCCGTTTCCAGGCTTCAAACCCCTAAAATGCCTAAAACCCTCCTTTGCCTGCACATAGCCCTCTCTCGTTAGGGCATTCGAGCCTGCCGTTTGCCAGCCTTCAAACCCTTAAAACCCCTCAAACCCTCCGCGGCAGCTTCCACCAAGGCCTCTGGCCGTCAGCCTTTGCTGCTCCAGGGTTGCAGCCTGCCCTTTGCCTGCACATAGCCCTCTCTTGTTAGGGCATTCGAGCCTGCCGTTTGCCAGCCTTCAAACCCTTAAAACCCCTAAAACCCTCCGCGGCAGCTTCCCCCAAGGCCTCTGGCCGTCAGCCTTTGCTTCCACCAAGCTCCTGGCCACCTGCACATAGCCCTCTCTTGTTCGGGCATTCGAGCCTGCCGTTTGCCAGCCTTCAAACCCTTAAAACCCCTAAAACGCTCCGCGGCAGCTTCCACCAAGCCCTCTGAACCCCTAAAATGCCTAAAACCCTCCTTTGCCTGCACATAGCCCTCTCTCGTTAGGACATTCGAGCCTGCCGTTTGCCAGCCTTCAAACCCTTAAAACCCCTAAAACCCTCTGCGGCAGCTTCCACCAAAAGGCCTCTGGCCGTCAGCCTTTGCTTCCTGGCCGTCAGCGCTCCAGTTGCAGCCTGCCCTTTGACTGCACATAGCCCTCTCTTGTTAAGGCATTCGAGCCTGCCGTTTGCCAGCCTTCAAACCCTTAAAACCCCTAAAACCCTCCGCGGCAGCTTCCACCAAGGCCTCTGGCCGTCAGCCTTTGCTTCCACCAAGTTCCTCGCGGTCCGCGCTCCAGCATTGCAGCCTGCCCTTTACCTGCACATAGCCCTCTCTTGTTAGGGCATTCGAGCCTGCCGTTTGCCAGCCTTCAAACCCTTAAAACCTCTCAAACGCTCCGCGGCAGCTTCCACCAAGCCCTCTGGCCGTCAGCCTTTGCTGCTCCAGGGTTGCAGCCTGCCCTTTGCCTGCACATCCCTCGCGGCAGCTTCCACCAAGCCCTCTTGCCGTCAGCCTGCCGCTCAAGCATTGCAACCTGCCCTTTGCCTGCAATGCCTAAAACCCTCCTTTGCCTGCACATAGCCCTCTCTCGTTAGGGCATTCGAGCCTGCCGTTTGCCAGCCTTCAAACCCTTAAAACCCCTAAAACCCTCCGCGGCAGCTTCCACCAAGGCCTCTGGCCGTCAGCCTTTGCTTCCACCAAGCTCCTGGCCGTCAGTGCTCCAGCATTGCAGCCTGCCCTTTACCTGCACATAGCCCTCTCTTGTTAGGGCATTCGAGCCTGCCGTTTGCCAGCCTTCAAACCCTTAAAACCCCTAAAACGCTCCGCGGCAGCTTCCACCAAGCCCTCTGGCCGTCAGCCTTTGCTGCTCCAGGGTTGCCGCCATGCCCTTTGCCTGCACATCCCTCGCGGCAGCTTCCACCAAGCCCTCTAGCCGTCAGCCTGCCGCTCAAGCATTGCAGCCTGCCCTTTGCCTGCAATGCCTAAAACCCTCCTTTGCCTGCACATAGCCCTCTCTCGTTAGGGCATTCGAGCCTGCCGTTTGCCAGCCTTCAAACCCTTAAAACCCCTAAAACCCTCCGCGGCAGCTTCCACCAAGGCCTCTGGCCGTCAGCCTTTGCTTCCACCAAGCTCCTGGCCGTCAGCGCTCCAGCATTGCAGCCTGCCCTTTACCTGCACATAGCCCTCTCTTGTTAGGGCATTCGAGCCTGCCGTTTGCCAGCCTTCAAACCCTTAAAACCCCTAAAACGCTCCGCGGCAGCTTCCACCAAGCCCTCTGGCCGTCAGCCTTTGCTGCTCCAGGGTTGCAGCCTGCCCTTTGCCTGCACATCCCTCGCGGCAGCTTCCACCAAGCCCTCTTGCCGTCAGCCTGCCGCTCAAGCATTGCAGCCTGCCCTTTGCCTGCAATGCCTAAAACCCTCCTTTGCCTAAAATTAAATTCATATGGTTGAATCGCCACAGGAGTCATGACTCAACAACAAGGTCAAAGGCAAGCACAGGCTGACCAACTTTCGTTCTTGAATTGAAATGCAGCACATAGCAGAACGGTTCAATTGTTCAGGTTTCTTTTCACATCCTTTGCTGCCTCTTCACTAATTGAAACATAATCCCAACGACAAAACATTGCCCAAATGGAAGTAACACTTCGAACCGATACCCTTGCGGCCAGAAATTGCTACAGTGAAGGTTGGTTTAGCATCAGAACGTAGTGCCAGGATGCGCAACCCACCCGTCAAGGACCTGTTCTGGAAAAATCCTAGAAGCTCCTCCCAAATGCGCAGGTAGACAAACTGGACTCAACTCGAGCTCCCACCGGTCTGTTTCGTGTAGGTCTTGAAAGTCTTTACTTCTCCTGTGGTTTTATTTACTGATCCTGCCCTGCCACCCCCACAAAGGGGGGTCGGCGGCACAGGGCGCTAGCCCATTCTATAAGGAATATAATGGGACAAAATGGGAATATAAGCCATATGCAACCCATGGTGCTGGTATATAAAAACCAAAAATGACTGACTGTGATTTTGGACAAGGGCAAATGTTGGATTCCATATTCCAGCACCATGGGTTGCATATGGGAAGTATTACAGAAAAATCCAACAAACCAACATCAATGGGAGATCTTCAGGATCCTAAAGTGGAGGTACTGTACCATATAAGGGCATATTTTCTAGGGATATTCCCTTACATAGGCCTGAAAAAAAGGCCTTATATATGGTAGGTACCTCCAATTGAGGTTCCTGAAATGTCCGTTGACAACATAGGTAATGGGGATGAACCAAACGCGGGCTACCAACGGATTTACAAAACGATCCATTCGACTATAGAAACTTGCAGGACACCATGACCCATATCCCCATAGGTAAAACACCAAACAAACACATATGAAGAAATATAATTATTCAAAGGGTATGTTGTGTTCTTTTTGGTATGATCCGACAACCCATATATGCAAATAAACATAATATGGTCAATATTTATGTATATATTATAATATATATATATGTATATATATATGTATACCAATATATATATGTATACCAATATATATATATGTGTGTAAATGTGTATGTGTGTGTATGTATGTATATGTATGTGTATGTGTACGTATGTGTACATATATCAATAAAGTGTGTATCCGTGCCTGTGTTGGTGTGTGGGTGTGTGATATACGAGCATTCATATATATATGTATATACATTACACTGATAGGTACACACACAAACATATTCAAAGGAAGTTTAGTCGAGGCCATTCACAGAAGTCTCACAAATGTCGCACACCACGCTGGCTGTATAGATGCTGCATAGAAACCACCAAAAGAACACCCAAACAAATAGAACAGGTTCAGTTTACCATTGTTTTAGTATGTAGGACTTTGCTTTCCATTGTTGTTTTAGGGGGTGCCATTGTGGTTGCTACAAAAGTCAATCCACAAAAACCCCAAATCGGGACAAACTCACACAACGCCACCAACATCCACCAACATCTCATTCGTTGATGGCTATATCCCTTCAAATCCTAGTTCTCCCCCATATTAGTTGGTTCTATCCCCATTCTCTGCTGTCATACTTATCCCATCCTTTTGTTGATAAAATCCTCATGCTTTCATCTATGCCGAAAAACGCACCCCAAAAAAAACATGGTCAATCTGTGATCGTCCACAAACAAAAAAAACATTGATTTGGCTGGTTATGGTCATCTTCCACTGAAACGGCAAAAAAAAAACAGGATTAAACTGCCCATCCAGTTTAATCGTCGGCCTAGGCGCGCGAAGCTTCTGCACTGCCTCTGTTCGGATCTGGTACGCCTTGTTTCCCCCCGGCGCAGCTATCGCGGTGATGAGCAACGGCAAAGTGAGGATGGCGACATTGCGTTGGAAGACATTGGGAGTCATGATCCAAAGGATGGAGTGGGGCAAAATAGGATGATGGATTTGCTGAGGAACTTAAGGTAAGGAGAGAGAGAGAGAGATGTATACAATATATATATATAGAGGCTGTATATATATATATGTCAGGAAAAATATGAGTTTATCAAAACATGTGAGAATATACTCATACGAATGAGTGATGGAACCATCAAAAAACAAAGAGTCAATGCATCGATTCGCATCGATTCTTTCAGATCCATTGCATCCATTGCATCCATTGCATCCATTGATATCCATTGCCATTAGGATATATACCATCTGGTTATTTAACATAGCCATGGAAAATCACCATTTTTAATAGGTAAACCCAGGTAAACCATCTATAAATGGGCCATTTTCCATGGCTAGGTTAAATAACCAGAGGGTATAAATGACACACCAGCCCGCTACAAGCTTCAAGTATCTTCAAGTGGTGTGGCAACGGTTTGCTGGTCAAAGTCTTGAAGGAATAGCAGTTTTCGATGATCTGCCCACACTTTCATATTTAGGGGCATTTGTTTCACCAAACATCACAACTCAACTGGGTATGGGTCAAAATTAGGTACCCCAATAATTGGATGGTTCATACTAAACTAGACTAACATCTGTGGTCCCCTAGGTCTTCCATTTTGACCCACATCCAACTGGAGCAATCCCTGGAGTCAACTGTGGGGGCTGTCATGTAGAAATCCTTGGAGTATCCAAGCGGTTTTGATCCGCTGAAAGCTGCAGAAATCATAAAACCTACGGCTGAAGTGGCAATCAAAAACAGCATCAAATAATCTGTTGATTGCCATAAATATCCATAAATAACGTAGATAAACATATAAAAAAAATAGGAGCTACATACTATACTGTGCCATTTAAGGGGCCATGCTTCAAGGGGTGATGCTACCTCCCATAGGCCTTATCACCTTACAGATTAAGTCCTTCTAAATATATATCAATGGGAATTTCAGGATCCTAAAATAGAGTTACTGTACCATATAAGGGCATATTTTCTAGGGATATTCCCTTACATAGGCCTTATATAGGCCTTATATATGGTAAGTACCTCCAATTGAGGCTCCTGAAATGGCCATTGAATATAGGTACCTGAAATTCAAACATGGTTAACGATTCTGCAGGGTATTGGCAGAACCATTCCATCTACAATCTTGGCACATCATGGTATTGCCCCCTACTATAGTCCCTTTTCCGAAGCCCCAACATTTTCCAGTGCTGTTCTTGTTTCATGCAGTTTCAATATTTTTTTTTCAGCTGTACCCAACCCTTTCCACGCTCCAGTTTTGCGGGTGAATCTGGGCGACCTCCACTTCACAGCTTCATCCAAGCACCGGTTTGCATGGCACTTTTGAGTTCCCGGAATACCAAACAAGATTCAAACATGTGTTGACTATGCTCAATCAGCATGTCCAAAAAAAAACTATATTGCCATATTGCCATGTTTGTGGAAGAACATCCAATCTATTTTGCATGGTTTCTTTCTTTGGCATGTTTCCAGACTGGTTTTCCAAGAAATTTCAGACTGCTTAACTTGCTTAAAAATCCTGGTACCATCTGGTTCCATGGAAAATCATCATTTTAGGTAAACCATGGTAAACCATGTATATCTATGGGCCATCTATATATACCATGGCGAACTGTTAGTCATAACCAGAGGGTAAATCCCATTATCATCCCATTCTTCACCATTGTTAACCCATTGTTGAACCATGAAAAATCACCATTTATAGTGGTTAAATATCCCATTCCCATAGGATATAGATCAACATTAATCACCATTAATCATGGATTAATCACCATTAAATCACCATTTTCGTATGGTTTTCCTGTGGTTATAAATCTTGGGTATAAATTTCCAGGCCCATCCCCAGCCCCAGAAATGTCAACGGCACCTGGCCGTTGGGAGATTCCATCGGCCACCAACCATCTGGGCGGCCGAAAGTCGTGTCTCGAAGATTTCAGGGGTGAAATCTCCAATGTGTTGGTGAAAAAATGTCTAGCCTCCAGTAAATGAACAGTTCGACCCTGCCAGATATATAGGGGTTGGAAGATGTTGGAAGGCTAGTGAAACCACTAAAAACTTGTGATTTTCAGGGTCTAACTGTTAATTTACCAGAGGGTACATGTCTCTTAAATGCAGCAAAAAAAAGCATCTGGATGTTCATTTTCACCAGTTTAATGAAGTAAGATAAGTAAGAAAGCAAATTATCATTTTGTTCATTTCGTTGCATGGGTTCAACTCCCCCACTTAGATCTCCGTCTTGGGTCACACCGTGACGACCCTGGTCTTCCGTTGCTTCGCCTTGTGAGTGACGCGCGCTCAGCGTTGCTCAACTTGTCGAAGGCGTTGCACACAGCGTCTCCACCTGCGACAGTGGGGGATATCATCATATTTTAGAGGGATATAGACAGATAGTAATCAGGGATCATAGGTAATGATGGGTATCCATATCTTTATCAGAGATATGTATATACATCCTTTTATTATGAATATAGAGAGAGACTGATATAGACAATAGTATCCCTGATGATGAGTATGTGTAATGTACACCACAGTACATAAGACTACAACTATACTGATAATATATCATGTATACATATATATTATGATGATACTATCCCTGTTACGAAAATAGTATATCATATATTGTAGTGGGAATATCACTGAGATACTACAGTCATGATCATGTAATATGATGATCTCGATTATATGGTCAGCGTATCAAAGTATCTTCAAGACTGTAACATCATATGTCACAAAAAAAAATATCACTGATGTGATGTAAATTACGATGACGATATTATGGTATATTGTATAGTAACAGTCGCTATACTTGATCATATTAGTTGGGAATTGGAGTGACGATTTCAAACTTGGCTGGTGGTTTCAATCACATCAATCCCATTCTCCATCACCGGCCCAGCACCGACGTCCGAGTCACTGTCACGATCATAGGCTGTGCTCAAACACAAGAGCCGGACCAAGGCCTTGCGCTCGGTATCGAAAGGTGGATGGGGCCCAGTGATGTTTGTTGTCATGTCTTTATCGAATACTGTTTATCTTTCCTATCATCTGTCCTATATCTTCATCATCATTCTATAACTCCCAATCTATACATTAATCTCTGGTTGGTGGTTTCAACCCCTCTGAAAAATATGAAAGTCAGTGAGGAATGTGAGGATTATTATTCCCAAGATATGGAAAGTCATAAAAAACATGTTCCAAACCACCAACCAGATTCCCACTCCCATGATATTCCCATGATCCTCGACACCTCCGCCGCCCTAGGAGGTCTTCGCTCGTTTCAGGGTTGACATTCATCTGTTTCAAAAAAACATATGGTTCACAGGGAGGTTTCAGCCAGTCATGAACCCTCTGGTAAACGTTTACATAACTATGTAAACTAACAATTTGCTATGGAAAATCACCAATTTTCATGGGACAACTCTATGGCCATGTTCAATAGTTTTTTTGTATGTTTACCAGAGGGTGTATATATATATATATATCATTATATATAGTCATATATAATTGCCTATATATCATTATATATCGTTAACTATAACTATCATTACATATCTGTCTATATTGAATAACTATCATTAGTATCATTACATATTAATCTGTGTCCATTAAAAGCACACACATAATCATATATCAACCAGTTTTTCCATTAATTAAACATTAATATACCATTAATATCCAGTATACCATGCATATACCCTCTGGTAAACTAACATATAGCTATTGAAAATCGCCATAGAAATAGTGGATTTATCCATTAAAAATGGTGATTTTCCATAGCTTTTTGTATGTTTACCAGAGGGTAACATATGGATCCCAGGGAGGTTTCAGCCAGTGGATCCGCACGATTCCCCGCCTGATGTTGCCACGAGGCGAAGCGCGACAACGCCTTGGAGCCCCGCAGCAAGAGGAAGGCCTGGAGCAGAGCTTCGGTGAGGGGTTCGGCCTTAAGTAACGGCCAAGGGTGAAACAAACACATTGGGAACGTTGGGATATGAATGGGATATGAATGGGATATGAATGGGATTCAGTTGGGTTTAGTTGGGTTTAGTTGGGTTTAGTTGGATTGAATGGGAGATGAATGGGATATTCTTGGATCTAAGGGAATATTTGTTATGGTTTCATGGGATATTTTTTGTAGGATATAGCATGGTTTTTCACCTATAGGGACTTAGGTATCAACAATAGTTAGAAAGAAGTATAGCACATGGTGCACCAAATTGTCAGTTAACTTGGTTTGCAGCTCCAATAACTCAGGTTTACAGTGGATATATCTATAGTTGATGGAGTTTATCAGCAAACTAATATGATTTCTGGTGCACCACCTTGTACCATCTTTATGGGTTATAACTTATAACAATGATTTAATCGGATTGGGGTCTGATGTATGAGCAATATTGGGGTGTTGCAACTTTCATGCGGATATCTTACAAGCTCTAGCGAAAACGGATACACCCGGCGCCCGGTAGCACCGGGCGTCCACGTCCACTGTCACGACGTGAGGCACCACTGAATTGGCAAGTTGGGAAACCCCCGAAGTCAATGGACATTTATAGCTGGGAAAATCACACTAATATGGATCCAAATGGTGGATTTTCGGTCGCGATGTTTGATGACACCGGAGGGTAAATGCACTGTCATTCTGGGAACTGTAAAATCGACCCTGCACACATGTTCACATCAAACATTGTCTTTGCGTGGTGAATGCACTTAGATGCCTACATTGAGCGTCCATGGTTGTTGACTTTCCGCACAAAGGCAAGAACTACATGTGTCTGACTGGTGCATAGTGGTGTAATCATTAACATCCCTGCAATCGAAAACCGATCACAACCAAGCAAGGTGTTGAGACTTGAATATGAACAGTGCACAACTAGTTATAACATGTTACAACAATGTGTATATATAAATATATAATGCAAATAACAGCCTGCCATGGCTTACAATGGTGAGCACCCAGCACAACGGTACCGGCCAACAAAAATGAGATCTGTTCCAGGCGGCAGCCTTCTTCCCATGGAGGTTGCTGAAGTCATGGATAGTCATGGAGGGGTACCCAAATCATCCAAATCATGACCATGACTCAATGATTTCGCATTAGAACAACCGTGGCGACTCAGGGATCCCACATTTGAAGAAAGCCCAATATAGTGATTCTAGTTGCCGCATGTTGCAGCTGTTTTTTTCGAACTCCTGTCCGACCTAGCCAAACAAAAACGCTCGATCAAAAACGAGGCAGGGCGGCATTGTAGGCGGGGCCCGCATCCATGTTCCTGCAACAAGGGTATCTGGGACACGGGATCGGAGTCTGGAAGTTGGGTGTGCCTGAAAATGGGGTGTACATGAATATAATGTCTGACAATTTTAGTGGAAAACATCTTGATGCAGGATGACATTTGAGGGTACCCTATTTTCAGACAAACCCATTTCAAGAACGTAATTACATTTCAAGAGTCTGGAGGGAATTGTCGACCTTTAAAACCGGAAAACACCTTGATGCAGGATGACATTTGAGGGCACCGTATTTTCAGACAAACCCATTTCAAGAACGTAATTACATTTCAAGAGTCTGGAGGGAATTGTCGACCTTTAAAACCGGAAAACATCTTGATGCAGGATGACATTTGAGGGTACCGTATTTTCAG